CAACCCGTTTGTCTATAAGGCAAGCTTCATGTGCAACAGAAGTAGCATTTCTCAAAAGGGCTTGATTTATGGAGTGTGTACAGAAGGTAGTAATTACAGAAAGTGTGTGCGAGTTTGTGTGTAAAGTTTATTTTGGGGAACATGGGAAGGATAGGGAAGGGATATGATTGCCTACTTTATTGTTCTTCTCTTCTGCTAATGTGAAATCTGGACAACAGATTTTGATTTTGGTTTCTACAAGTAGAAATTGGGGAAATGATTTAAAGAGAAAAAAGTATAGAGTGTACTTTTTATGAATATGGCAACACTTATGTATCAGTTTACAGCCTGAAAAGTACAGGGAGAAAAAGTTGTGGTTCATTTATTAACACTAACAAAAACTGGATATTTTAAGGTGTGTGTATCAGACATCACCTACTTTTTGAAAGGAGATAACTCGTTAATTCACAACTGGGTAATAGGAAGTAGTGACTATGACCTTTCTAACAGGAGTAAAGTAAATATTTTTAAGGACCTGATGATTACTGCTTCTGTTCTCTTAACTTTTCTTTATTCATTTGAGGGTTCAAGAAATGGTTTAGTTCTTAAAATTATTTCTGGTGATTTTTAGAATAGATAAACCACATTAGTGAAATTGCAAAAGGCATCTGGTGYGTCCAATTTCAAAAGTCACTTCGTATTCGAAAGACAATTTTCTCATGCCATCGTTGAGGGGATTATTGAAAACAATTTTCTGTTGAGGATGTGTTTTCATGTAGGAGCAGTGTGAATTTCTTCTCCAGTTTGCCTCGGTGTATTTGCAGCATACGCTTAGTAATTTGCTTTTTGAGGAACAGATGTGCTAGTTGTCCCCCCAGGTATGTACATGATACTTATTTTAGACTTTTAAGTAATGCTATGAGCACATCTGAGTGAAGATCTTGTTTCTTTAAATTATTGGGCATAAAAATAGAAATGTTACGCTTTTCTGCATTAAAACAGTCAAAATATAACGCTTTAAATTATTTACAGATGATGTAGTGGGAAATTGGTTATTCTCTTGATTCACAAGGTTGGATAATTGAGTTAAATCTTTGTTTGCAAAAATCAATGCCTAGGTGGACTTAAGAGGAAATGCCTGTAAACAATTGGAGGTTTTCTTGTTATTGTTGTGCATCAATGTACTTGTTATGATACGAGAAACATTAATTTTGATCTAGATTGAGATATATGTATTTGATACAATATTCACATTTATTCTGGAAGTGGTGACAGGAGTGTAGAAATCCTGAAAGAAACTTAGAGACTCTGTTTTATCCTCCTGATGTTTCTTAGCCCTCCTCTTGTTTACATGCAAGATACGTTAAATATTTAATMAAGGCAGTGAGCAACTTTGTGTTTTCCTCAGTGACTTGTTTGCTATTTTATTAACGAGGAATTTCCTGTGGCAGTTGGATYGTTTTGCTCGAAGTCTCAGGCGTGCAGAGATGTGGGAACAGTTGGCCTTTCCACAAGGAAGGATGTTGGTTTTGTTTTCTTTTGAGTTGAGGTATTTAGTGGTTCTATTCATGTCGTTCATTCAGAATTTAATACACAACTTTAAACAGCCTTAACAAGGAAAGAAGTGGAGATATGTTTTCGAGGACCTTTTTATGTGGAAAAGATTCATCTTTTCCATCCTTGCAAACATGGCTGCTTCCTCTGGTCTGATGGTTGTCATCAGGGGAGTTTCGAACCTTGAARGGTTTTGCGCTGTTCTTGGTTGTTTCATCTTCTTGCCTTGAATTAATTGAAGATGGTATCAAAGCTGGAATGCCTAAAATGTTGGGATGAGGAATGTGTGCTTGACAGGCTCCTCTTTCTAGTGCAGTGGCYATAAAAGAAGGAAAGGAGACTTTTCCACTATGTCCCAGCTGAGTGTCTGGGAGATCATAGCAAGGACTAATCGAATATTCATATTAAACARTTAAAATGTCGGTTAAAATTAGGTAATGCTGAATGGGCTAAAAGGAGATGGTAGCGCTTGTTATGATGCTCCTGGCTTTGGGTGCGTCCTCTTATATCCTTGAACRCACGTTGGGCCACGGTGAGGCAGAACAGCCGCTGTGTTTTCCTGTTATAGGAGTGTGTTGGCTACAGGCGGATCAAGGCAACAGCCGCTTCCCCCTTGCCCTGTTCTCTGCAGCAAACGCTTCCTTCTCRGGCCGTGCGTGAGGGAGTGGAACCCTTGAGGGCCCTGTCAGATGTTTGTGCAGCCCCAGCTCCTTCCCCTCGCGCACCAGCCCCGCGTGGCCCCAGCTCTTCGGTGAAGCCTCGGTGGCTGTGTAGGGCTCTGCCGCGAGGTCCCCACGGCTGCAGGGACCCCTTCCCACCGCTGTGTTCCCAGGCTACGTCTTGGGAGCAACTTCTCAAGCGCGGGCTGGAGGAAAGGACAAGGGCGAATGCCTGCGGCCTGGGCCATGCAGCGCTCAGCTCGTGAGCGTGCGTGCATCGCTGCCTCTGTCCCCTTAGCGGGATCATGATAACTGTCACATTTAAATGCTTAAGAGAGCTCTTGTATCTGTTGCCATGGCAATATCAGGAAGGCAACATGGTAGTTTTCATCTATATCCATGTTCAGCTTAATTCTCTTGAAGCTGTTTAACGGTGGAAGGAAGGTACCACGTTGCGCCAKCTCTAGTTTTGTCTTGAGTTGGGCAGTAGCAAATGAAAGCTCAAGCTCCCACTTGATTTGAAAGGGAAAYTTAAATTCTACATGCAACTAGCTAGTTTCCATTGGGTATGATTTGCCTTGGGATTGACATTCCTATATGTAAAACATTATCTGTGGATCTCCTGACCTGCCATTTCTGGCTGTGTGCTATTTCTTATAATTACTTCTATTCAGGCTGTAATAAAAGGCCTGCCCTGCCATCCAGRCCCTGCCATTCCATTGCAGAGCTGCGTCTACCTCGGGTATCTTTTCCTCTAGAAGCGAAGTATAAACATTTCCCTCTAGAAATTCTGATGTAGCTTTCTGTTTTGTCCTTGCTCTAATGCTTTCCTTCAGAACAGAGCCTGCCCTGTATGTCTTAACCTACATGATGTTATTTGGCTGCCTCACTTCTGGTTTCTAGCAGCTGTGCTTTTCTCCTTCACATTCAAGAGCCTTTTCTCCCCTCTGCCCCGGTACAAGTTGTTGCGCTCAGCAGCCCTCCTGCCCAGGAAGCCTTTGCCTGCTCCTTGCCTTGGGTGTCAAGCGGAGCCGTTCCTGCTCTCCTCACTGACCCACGTTTTCCTGGTGCGGTTGTGCCGACCTGGTCGCCAGGTATCGCGGAGCRTGTGGTGCCCGAGATGTGCCCAGCTGCTTGGGAGCTTTGATTGAAAGGGAAGAAACATCTCATGAGATGGTGACAGCCGCACTTGATGCGCTTCACTTGTGCAGGAGTTGCTTATTTGACACTATGAGGYTCAGAAGTGATTTTTTCAAAAAAATCAAAACTAGTTAAACATCTCCTGATGCTTTTATTTTTTTTGTAAATTCAGTGGGGAGCATATTCTTGCCTTAGCATGAATGTAAGAAGTAGTAACTTCATGTTAGCATCTTAACTCTCTTCCTTTCATCTCCTCCTARAAAGTTTTCACACATTGCTCTAAGTATTCATTCAAGAGCTAAGATTTTATTGCACAGTTGGATTCTGAGGGTATTTTACATAGAAGAATAATTGAGGATGATTTTAATGTACCGAGAACTGGTGAGGTGAGGGTGAACCCTCCAGAATAATGGCTTAAGTATTGGCTTTTAGCTCCCCTTTTCCACCCTGGTCCATCCRAATTTATGAGCTGGTAAGGATTTCAAAACGCTTAATATAAGCCTTAGCATGAGCCTTTATTCTGACTGTATTTTGAAAATAGAGCCTTGCAGGTGGCTATTTTATACTTCCTGCATAGCAAATGGTGGAGAAAAAAAGGAAAAAAAAAAAAAAAAACCCAAGTTTTAAATTAGTATTCTGTGCAGCTCTGCCTGAAAGCTGGTCTGCCTGATCTCTTCTAGATAACTACCTTCATATAATTTTGAGTTACTGTAGGAGAGARAAATAACCTTTGTGTAAAGATCTTATGGGACACTAAGTTTCTCCTCAGAGAAGCTGCTGGCTCTGGGAAGTGCCTTAATCCTATTTTTCAGAATAGAACTGGTCATGAGCTTTCCCGAAGAGGAACAGGCCATGGGTGTGGGGGATAGGACCAGTCTTCTTGCTCCTGAACTTGTAACCACAATTTTTTCCATCAAGCCAACTCAGTGTGTGTGGCAAACCACCCGACTTGCTGAGTTACCTAGAGGTGTGAACAGCTTTTTGTAACTAATCACATTTTCATGAGGCTTTATTTTRGTCATTTAGCTTTAGTGTGTAAATCTTTCTGTTACAAGTTGCACTTACTGGAAAGAATTTAGATCTCTTCAGCTTCTTACACTTTAATTTTTCGGAGATGTTTCTTTGCCATAATGATGGTAGTGATGATACACTTCTCCTGTAGTAAGTTTTCAGCCATAATTTTCTGTATTTGTTTTCAATATAAAGCAAAAGTACAAAGAAGTAAAAACATTTTAAGTTCATTTTACACAAAACTCTGTACCTCAATCAGTAAACTGGTTATAACTGAATTTCTTATTGCATTGCACACATTAGACTTTTAGACACAAACTTTTATCCTGTTGCTGTTGAAAATGATTTCTTTTGTCTTGGTCAATGCCGAAAGGAGGTGAGAAAAGTTGTCAAAGATTTTAACAATATAAATTATTGCACCGTTTTAAACATTTTTTAATGCACTACTAAAGTAATTTAAACACAAGCTAGAAAACAGTAAATACATGGAAAGAATAGAAAGCTGATTTTTCATTTTCTAAACTGCATATTTCATCATACAACTTCTCCCTCCTGCGTCTGATTTTTTTGTAATGAACTGTGCATGAAGAGAGTGCTCAGATACAAAAACAAAAAAATTTAAGTAGCCATTGGCCATCTTGATAATGTTTTAAAAAATAGTTGTAGAGTGGTTTCAGGTTTCACTCGGGCATTAATACGGATCTTGAGGAAAATATAGTGGGCTCTTAAAAGGCATTAAAAATGGCTTTTTGTATTTCATCTTGCAGTCTTTGCTGGTGTGTGAACCAGCAAGAGGTTTGGTGTACTGAATTTGCATGCAAGAGAATTCTGCCAAACTCGCACAGATTAGCTCCAAAGTGGAGTACCCTAGAGGTTGTTTGGCTGCCAAACTTTATGATTCAAATGCCAAACATTTAAAGTTTACTTATTAGCCTCTTGGACTATACCCAGTAACAGTGTTTTGAACTAGCCCAAGTTGAGAAAATCCAAGTGGAGTGCATTGCATTGCAGCGTGAAGGTGCCCAAGGCAGGGAACGGGGCTCGCCTCCTCGCCAAGAGGACGAGCAGGATTCTTGGTCACCTTCACTGTGGGGAAGGCAACTGTTGGGTTTGTGCATCTCCCACACCCAAGTTCCCAATAATAATAACAATAGTAGCTGACTTTTAGTGTGCTTTGCAGTTRTCTGAAAACTGCACTGCTTTTTTTCTAAGCGTGCATACTGTCAGCTTAAGCCAGGTAGCTTTCATCTTGAGATATCAATGCCAGCCTGTGTCAACTGGTCGGAAAAGGTCAGATCTGAGTGTGAGGAAAATTAGAAATGGATTTTGAAAGGACTCTCCTAAGTCTTCTACTGCARCTTGTATCTGTGTTGTGCAAATGTCAGTAGTCACTGCTAAAAGAAAACGAATGCTCTTCCAGTCTAGTTTGATGTCCCTCTCCTGCAGATATTTTTGSACATGTTTACTTTTCTGAGAAACAGACCTTTATACTAGTTGAGGTATATGAAAATGCGCAGACATAATATACCTAAAATACAGCATGTGACAAAATCGAGTAGTGCAGGATCACCAAAAAATGACAGTGAGCAAGTTCCCATACCTATCTTCAATAAGAACTCCTAGGATCTTTYAAGAGGCTTAGTCCAGTGTGCAACAGTCTGCTCAGATGTATGAGCTCCTGCGTACAAAGGGCTTCGGAGCTGTTAAGAGCGCTCGGTAAATACCATTTGTCTTTGTATTACAAAGAAAAGATAAACTACAAAAATGCTGTGGTCTCCATAGTGTGCATAGTATGAAAATGAAGTTGTAGGAGTTGGGAGGCAAGCTAGAAAAGTCAGGCAATGTTTAACATAGCCATTTATTTCTTCCTGAGCAGCCTTTCCATAAGAAGAGAAGTCTGAAGGACCATAAATATAATCAGTTTTATTAAATCATAGAAGTACATCAAATATTTTTGTTTTTCCCCAATTAAAAAATCTCAGTCAAACAAACCTAAGCAGAGTTCCTTGATTTGCTGCTGAATCAGAGGTGGGCATTGCTAACCCGGCACTGTGAAAAACACTAATAACCTGAATCTGATGCAGTTCTGCAGTAACTTTGTTGGAAAATAAGCTTTAAAAACTTCTATTTGTTGGAAATCTGGAAACCTGTAAGCAGGTTTAACCTACTTTTTGCATCTCTATTTCCAGTGGTACATGTGGTTTCAACTTTTAAAACTGCTCCAATTTTATTTTCTGCCATATTGCTATCTGGAAATGTCAGTCTTGTGATCTGGTCCTCCCCCATCCATAAAATAAGGTGTTCAGCTAAATTTTCTGTTAGGCCTGTTTTAACTTGACTGATTCTTCCTTCTTTTCCGGAGAGAGGGAGGAGGAGGGAGAGAGAAAGGGCAAGATGACAGATTGTCTGTTCCCCCCATGCACACCCGTTGTGCAAAACGGGAAATTTCTGAGATGCTGTCAAAAGACTCGGAGCTTATTTTGCATTTCTGATCTGCCTTTGAGCTRCCTTAAAGAAATTAGTTCAGGAAACTAAAAGCAACTTCTGTGGGTTTTCATGAAGATGCCAAGATGAATGTGTAACCTGGCTCYAGAATTCAGGAACTTGTCCCATGAGTTGTTGAGAGTTAAGTAATATTTAGTCCTCTCTTTAAAGGGAATCTAGTTGAATCTGGTTAAACACCAGGTGCAGTTTACAAATGGGTGCCTGCTGAAATTTGGTGTCATTTAGCCCTATTTCCTAACCAAAATAAGCAGCTTTTCTAAAAACTGACACAGCTGTGTACAAGGGCGCAGTCTTAGTATTTTAGAGTTTGTTGGTAGTGTCTTAGTAACTGTTAATGTGACATTATCGAAAGTGGTGTACATTAAAGAAGTACACAATAATTTTAATGTGGTATTTGAACGTAAAACTGATCTGCCCTTTGTGCCTTTCCTTAATTTGTCATTTTTCTTGTAGCAGTTTTAGATCATAAAAAGAAACTATTAGACTGAGAACAGCTAGAGCAATGAATGCATTGTTTAAAAATAAAATTTTAGTGTGGAAAATATGCTCAATTATATTTTATTGGCACATAAATCAGCAATTGTACCACCAAAGTGTGCATGCTTATTATTGCACATTAACACAAAAATCCTTGAATACCATCTTTTTCTTTTTTTTTTCTCCTTGTATTTCCTGGGCAAACCTTTTGGTCATAGGTTTGTAACAGTGTTTTCAAGAACTATACTTTTAAAATTAAAAAAATAATTTTCACACTCCGTTATGTGACGGGAGGGCCGAGGAAGGGCTGTCCCGAGCAGCTCCTCYGTGTTCGCTGTCCTTGCGCTGGGCGCCGCGCTCCTAGTGCAGCCGGCGGTGGCGGTACCTGCCGGCCTTCTCCTTGGCCGCGTTGGCGCACGCGTTGTGCTTGTTCTGCTGCAAGTGGGTCCAGTATTTGATGAGTTCGCTGGGCTGGAACTGGTGGGAGGTAATTAGGTGGCTGTATTTACAGCTGGAGTAAGAAACTCGCCAGTGGTTGAAGACGAACTCGTTGGGCGGAGGCATAGGGTCGATTCGCAGCTTGGCAAGGCAGATCCCCACGTACACATCCTCCAAATGTAAACGCCTGATGCTTAAGGAGACTTTAAAGATCATCTCTGCTAAATCTCCTGAAAAAACATAACCAGTTCCCGAGCAGAACACAGGATAACGTTCGCTCGGGTACAAATCAGGTGGCATGTACCACTTGCTGTCCTTGTTCCTGTTGGGCGCGTAACCRCGCATTAAATAACCTGTGAAGTACTTCTGTCTCGGAGGAAGTTCTGGCTTCAGAAGCTTGTGTATTAAATATTCCGTATTGACAAACATGTCACTGTCTGTTTTCATAACATAGGAAACATGTGGACAGTAAGACGCAACCCAGTTCATTCCCATCAGTGTTTTAATAGTTAAATTGTAATAAGTGTCTAAATATTCTTGCTGGATGATGTCATGGTGCTGCCTGCTCTCCTCCAGGATGCTGCGCTGCACGTAGTCRCTGCCCTTGGTGCTCAGGCCCAGCAGGAACACGCGGACGATGCGGACGCCGGGCGTGAGGCTCTCGTTGCCCCACGTTTGGCGGATCGCCTGCCTGGCTTCCGCCTGGCCTGGCTCCGCCGCGATGAGCAGGATCAGGAAAGGGGTCCTCTCCTGGCACTTGTCTGGCTCGTTGATGATGTACTTAAAATGGTACAGGGCTGGGCGCCCGGTGCCTTTCTCATTGTAAATGCTCCCRTTGGCGCCGAGCGTGTTCTCCAGCCCGGTGACTCCTTGGGGCGCCAGCTCGGTGTCGTTGCCGCCGGKCAGGGCGGGAGGCCGGAGGGTCTGGGGCGCCGTGTCCCGCCAGGCGCCGCGTGCCGAGCTGGCGTTGGCCTCGGCCCGCGCTGCGCGCCAGCCGCGCACCGTGTAGGCCACGGCGCTCTCCCTGAAGCCTGCCCGGCCCGGCAGCCACTCGTGGTGGTGGAAAAGCAGAAACGTGGCGAAAAGAAAGACCAGGGAGAACAGGCCGATAAGGTGGGTGCGGAAGAGAGACCTTTTGGTATTCCAGGTCATCTTGGCGAAGCAGCAGAGCCGCCGCCGCCACTGGAGCATGTTGTAAAGATCCGGGATGGGGCGCCAGGCAGCGTCAGGCCGAGGGCTTCCGCTCTCCTCCTGGAGATGCTGCTATTCTTTGGTTTTCATTTTCCGACGTTCGCGTTGAGTGGGGCCCTGCAAGAGGCTCGCTCTGCAGAGGTGGAGGAAGGAAAGAAAAAATCAATTAAAATACTTAATTTTCCATTCTCTTCCTATAGGATATCAAATGAGAAACTAGATATAAACATACATACAAGCATTTTCCTTAAATCCACCGAAGATGTGCTTAAAGACAAGCTTATTTTATGATGAAAATCTGCTTGATTTGTTTGCTTTTAGATCAATGTGTTGCTTTCCTGGTAAGTTTTGGCTAATATTCTGGCCACCCAGGGAAAGCAGAAATCGGAATGTGATGGTGCCAGCAGGAAACCTGTGGAGCAGATATTAACAGCTGCACGTGTGCAGCCTGTGCAGTCCTTGCATGGTGCTAGAGAAGGGCTGAATGGAGAGGCCTTGGTACCAGATGGAAGCTTTATTGGCATTAATTAAAACCCATGTGACAAGCGGAGCGGGGGGACGGCTCGTGGTTAAACCCTCTCCTGCCAGGCAGCGTGTGGGGCCTCCATCCCTGTGTGACATTCGCTGGGTCCCCCGATCCCCGCTGCACCCCAAAAGCCAAGGAGAGGCTGTACCCGACATGCTTTYTGGGGACTGGGGACCTTGTAGCACCATCCTCACTTGTTTTGGCGCACAATTTGGTGGCTTTCCTCAGGKTTAAGTGCAGCTGCTGAACTGCAGCTACCCAGAGCTGTGTGGCTTTGTTGCTCATGGAGGCAACTGTAGGGAAGTGCCAAACTGGCCTCTGYTTCATTTTCTCTTGATTTTTTTTCCTTTCTTTTTTTCATATTCAAGAGTGCAGGCAATATGGCAGCTTCATGATGCTGCATATTAAAAGCTGATCACATCATCTTGTAAATGAACCTTTCACTGCACAGTAGCAATTCGTCTGTGATTTTCAATTTGCTCTCATTTATTTCTGGGCCCTGGGGTTTTGTATAGGAAAAAAGATGACAGTCTAGCAGGAGTCCCATAGAAAATACTATTTTTACTGAAAATGTRTGATTTATTAATTACTTTATCTTCTAAAACCAATATTTGGATTGATTTTTGGCCTTTAAGAAAAGCAGTGACATGTTATAAGGGATATTACGCAGATAATAATGGGATATTACGCGGGATATTGAGTTGTAGCGTATGTTTAATATTTGATCTTCCTGGAAGGAGAGGAGTAGCCTGCAGAGAGGCCCATGAGGGGCCGGTTTGGACTCCTGAGTTGAGATCCTGGGTGTCGTGGGGACGAGCGCGCGGAGGGGACAGCGCCGCGCGGTGCCGCCGCTGGGACGAGTCCCCGCTAGGAGGAGCGCACGGAGCTGCCGGCTCCTATATATAGTGTGTATGTATGTGCCTTTAACTCTTTCAGGACCCTGGCACGTAGCTGCGTGGGCTGTTCTTCAAAAATGACTTTCCTGCCTGCCAGATGTTAGGTCTGGCCACCTAAAGGGCATGGTCAGGCTTGAGCAGAGGTGCCCCAGGTTCTGTTCCTGCTGCTTTAAATCTGAGATGATGCAGATGGGGAAAAAAATAAGCTGTAAACTTGGAGGGTTTCTGTTGCCACCTGCCCCTGCCTGTGTGTGCTCAGGGAGTGGCAGCCTCAGGAGCCGGCCCACAAAATAAATCATTTCTGGTCGCTCTGCAGCGTGCGGTGAATTGTAAACGAGCCCTCAGTTATCCAGGAGGAATATTTCCGTGCGAGGAAACAGAACTGTCGCTTCAGAGGGTGTCCTAGATCTCAGGGACATTGTGTCTGGTAGCAGTTCGGGAGGAGCATTGGGCTCCCTCCCTTGCATGGGGCTGACTGCAGGGCAGCAGCCGCAATTTGCAGCAACTTGGTCATCCTCACCCTCAATTATTCCACTGAAAACTTCTGTCCCTAGATCCAAAGGCTTTAGCAAATTTGCACTGCGCTACTAATATTGAATTTTTAATGGAGATAGTGCTTTGTTCACATAGGAACATACAGAAATAGCTGCAAATGAGCCTCCCAAGCTAGGTGAATATTTGTGGGGATAGCCCTCAGGTGCAACATTGCCTTGATGCACCAAGAAGGTGTCCTCGGCATGGGGACACTTCAGGTTTCCTGTCATTCTAGTCCTGTCCCCCACCCTATAATGTAGCTTGATGACAGTAATTTCTCCCATGTTTTATTTTTCAAGGCGTGCATTTCCTAGAAAATCTGCAAGCTCAGCTTGCCCTTTGCAAAGGCAGCAGGCTGGGGAGGACCCACATCTATTACTTAGCTGCTTAAAAATATTGCCTGAAAAAACAAAAGCAGTAACTTGGTATCTCTTGGTTTCTTTGTGTTTGTATCTCTTGGATTCTTTGTGTTTCAGATTCAGAACATTTCAAAACATAGAGTGGATATTAAGTACTTGAAATACAAGAGTAGCAGTGGCTCTTTTGAACARAACATTACTTGCTAGGATGCCTTGTTAAAAATAATGGAAATGCTGTCAGTATCCATTTAGAATAGTATGATAAAAACATTATTTTGCTGCTTTGAGTTAGGATTACAATTACTGYATTTACTCAAGTATTTACGTCTTTTCATGCAAAGCTTGCGAGCAGAAACATCAACCATTAGTCATAGGTAAAACTAACTGTACCAGAAGGATCTTATGCCCTCCCCTGGTTCTGCAAGTATGTTGCTGCATGTAGCCCTGTGCTTTAAAAATCYCATTTAGGAGCTAGAGTCGTTGGTCTAGTGTGAACTGCCAAATACACCGGCTGCAAATGCCTCCTCCACTTTCATTTGTGGTCTGCGCTCTCCTCCTGCTTCTGTTCTTGTGCTCTGTGATTATAGCCTTGTAAATTGAAGCTGTTGACTGCTAATTTATACACACACATCCTGGTTCCTCCTATTCCGATTAGCTGTGTGGGCCAAGCCCTTAACGGGAGGGAGAAGCTCCAAAGGGAGCTGGAGCCGGCGTGGCCCCGTGGGCTCTTTCCACAGTTGCGGTTCTTTTACTCCTAGTTAGTATTGAGGTAAGGGAGCAGCTTTGCATCGACAGCCTAAGGATTTATTAGAGCTATTGAGAGATGCYGCAGATAAGCGCTGCCGTTCGGTGCTGTATTAAATTCCTATAGTCTCAGGTCTTAAATTACCCTGCTAACAGCAGCCTGCCGCCCTGTTTGCTTGCTCTTATCGATGAAGTATTTAGATTGGAGCGATAAGGAGACAGGAGGGACGCCGAGGCAAACACTCGTTCCGTGGCCCCAGTTCAACAGCCCCTGTTTCGGTATCACGCAGGGCGGCCGCGGTGCCGGTCCCGCACTCCCCGTCTCGAGCGGGGGCCGCTGAGGGAGGGGGACGGCCGGGGTCCCCCCCACACACACATTGGGAAATGCGGCTGCGATGGCCTCAGCAACTGTGCAGGCTCCCGCTCTTGGCCCGTGACAGGCTGACATTTCGCTCGTGCTTTTGCGGGGAGGGAGGAACAGATGTAAAAGAGATTTGGAGGTACTTCCTAGCTAATGTAATTTGACTGCGTGGTGTTTTGATGGTTCAGTGCTCTCAGTGTGTGTCACATCATGGCCATTTTGCCACTGCTTTAAGATTACTTCAGATAAGGATTAATTCTGACCTAGTTTGAGAGGATTTCCAGCTGATTTATTTTCTAAACTGAAGGGTTTTGAGTTTTTAATTTCTCTGTTAAATGCAATCATGACAGTAGCTACATTATCCCTTTAATCCGCCTTCTCAGCCCGAGCTCCAGCAGCCTGTGAGGAACATAATTAACAAGCGGAGGGAAGGGACCCTGTGCTGTGCCCTGGCACAGGGAGGAAAAAGCCGGGGGAATCCGTTCCCAACATTGATGGCCAGGCAGCCAGCAGCGAGCCCGCTCTGCAGTGGCTGCAAAGGTAACACCAAGTRAATGAATATCCCCCGCAAGGGTTCCACATACCTTCCTTGGTCAGCCCATGCATGGTGCGAGGATTAGACCCACTGAGAACAGTTTTGGCGCGCCATGGCTTCAGCAACAAGAGAGGCTATCGAACGTGTGCACATCCCCCACGGGCGCGCAGCCTGCGACCGCCGTGCCCAGCAGCATCCGCTCGCTCCATCCACGCGCTCGCTGCCGCGCCGCCTCCCTCGGCATCAGTGCCGGCCGCGGCCGGGGGCGTTGGGCGCGCGCCTCAAACCCGGGGGCGGCCGTGGCCGTCAGCGCCGGGCGCCGCTCGCAGCCGCCACCGCCGCATCCGTGCRCTCAGCGCGGCGCTGCCCGGGCCGCCGCCGGCGCTCCCCAGCATCCATCCCCAGCGCGGGGCTCCGCTCGCCTCCCGCCGCCGCATCCGTGTCCTCCCCGTCGTTTCTAGGCAGGCGCCGGAACGGCTCCGAGCGGCTGCGCCCCGGCGCCGGGCTCCGCGCGCTCCATCCCGGTGCCGCTCGGGCAGGCAGCGCTGGAAATGTGGGCTCTGACAGATGCTGCCTCCTGACAGAGCAGAATTGCACGTCACCGCCCGGCTGCRCCCCACGTGATGGTTTGCATTCATTTTGGCTCCGTCTGAAGGCAGCCAGAAAAGCTTTACGGGCTCCTGCTCCGCTTTGATAAATGATACGTAGTCAGGGGAAGCGCAGTGATAGGTGAGGAGTATGAAAATTGCATGATTATTAAATGAAGGATTGAGGGCTTTTTCAAATTGTTTTCACTTTTCCTTGACACGGTAACTTATGGTTCTCTAGGGAATTTTTAGTGCTGGATGGTCCCTTTCCGTATTCCAAAAGCTGCTCTGCAGCGCAAAGGAATTATAAGCATCTAAATGCCAGAGCTTCATTTAACCCCTTCTTTGAGTACAAACTCTTGGTGATGAAGAAAAAAATAAAAATGTGTTTCTTTGTTCCTATCTCCCTTACCWTCCTCACCCTATAAAAGCTGCTTTTTATAATTTTTAGACAATTAAGCTGCACCACACTCGTGCAGAAGCAGAGGCTGTTAGGGTGCCTTTTTGCTTTTAACAGCTTTCTGCCTCRGTAAAGGTCGAAGTCTGGTATTGCAGAATTGGGGGCACTTGGTTTCAATTATTGATRCATCTAAAATGTCTTTCTCCTGCAACAGGCATGGGCATATTRGAGGGTTTATCCTGCTGGCACTAATGAAACTTGTGTCCTTTTCATTTCTGTCCTTTCCTGCCTGACCCTCCCGTGGCGGAGCAGCTTATTGTGTGTAATGCACGTTATAAGGGAAACCTGTCAAGAGATGGTTCAGAAAAACCATAGCAGCCAAATACCCAGGTATTTGTTATTCACTGCGTTTGTCCACCCTGTTTTGAAAAACATTGACTACCTTTAGCCTTTTAGGTTGCTTTTAGCCAGAGGATAAAGAAAAAAAAAATACATCAATACATATGGTATCTCTGATTAGGTTCTGTAGTGCCCTGGAGCTGGTATTTCCCTTCYTGGGAAATAGGGCTTCCCCCGGCAGTCCCGTGTTAAATGTGTTCTACTAGTCTGATAACTTGCTAGAAACAAACAAATTTGGATCTTCTTGCCTAAATCAGCTATGCACAATGGTTTGCTCCATTAATTTAGTCCTGCTTTTAACATATAAGTTTCCTAGCCTGATGGCAATTTGCACAAATTCTGTGCTACTACTTCTGAGTGCATGAGCATATTTCTTGTATATTATAAATATAAATACTTATCAATGAAGGCTTCAATCTATTCAATTTAAAATTTTGTATTGAAAAAAAAACCTCTGTCTACTGAAGTTTCCATTCAAACCTGCAACGCTTTCTAGCCATTACCTCACCTTTACTTACACAAAGTCTTATAGTATCTTTTTCCAAATGAATACAAACGTGACAAATACTGGCCAGCAGGAACACTGGCTTGCCATACTCTGAGCTACAGGTAGAAGATGAATTGAGATACTGGTGTAGTTTTTTTACCTGTTCTAAATTACATAGATGTGAAAAAATGCAAAAGTTTTTGCATAGCAGCAGATAAATCTGCCTCTAATTTGGAATTTTAGGGCATATACTGGGGAAGCAAGTTTAAACTTCAGCAGAACATAGTAACATCCAAATGGTTTTCATCTGTTTACTTAATGCTTCATCRTACCTGATGTATCTGCAAGAGGATGTGAGATATGTAGTATGCTTAAATATTGGTTTTGGGTAAAGCTGTTAATATATTTCTGTAAAAGCTCTGTAGTAAGTGTGAAAGGCTCAGGAATTCTAAGGGTCATTTTTTCCAGATGGAATCTGTTCATAAGTAAAAAGGAACAGGCTTCAGTTCTGTTTTTTAAATTATGTGACCATATTCCCTGAGCCTAATCTTAAACCAGGCATAACTGTTGCATCTTTGTGTAAAAYTTAGAATTTTGCACTGTGAACTGAATATGGAGTTTTTAAATCTTGATGAACAGTTTCTTTTGTACATTCATTCTTTGTTTTTGAAGGTCACGCAAGTCCCCATCTTGCAGGGAAAGGAAGGAAAAGCCGTGTTGCTTTTTACCATTGCTTGACTGAAACAGCTTCGGGGAGTCAAAAAGGATTCCGTTTTCTTTTGTAGCACTTCATTTAGCCTTTCCATGTGGTCCTGTGTAGCCCTGGGTGTTTCAGGAAGGCAGAGCTTGCTTTGCTCTAGAAATGTGACCTGCAGGTTCGAGTGATGTTGCTGCGGTCACAGGTTGGAATGAGCTTTGTTTTGGCTCCCTCTTGCGCTGCAGGGTCTSTGGATTGCTTTCCCTGGGCCCAGGGAGTCCTGTGCTCTCTAATGTTACTATGGCTACATCTTAAATTAGGCACTGCAGTCCTAGTGCTTGAAATACTGCCATCTATTCAGAAGRAGGAGGAATCACCGTGCTGTGAAGATGTGTCCCTTCGCGTGCAAGGAACACCAGTAGGTTCTTGGTTTTTGGGTATGGGTATCAGCCATTAAGTAGAGGTCTGTTCTGACCACAGTCATAAATGACATGTTTCTGAAGTGAGCTTGCAATGGCAGTTTTCCCCTGTCACACAAACTGAGTGGCCACCTGAGGCCCTGAGCACGGTGCTACGCGGCAGCTCGGCGCCCCCGGGTGTGACGCCCCTTCTCGCTCTGTGGGGGGATTCTGCAAAGAAGATGGCATTTTATCATTGCAAAATGTGGCAGTATTTATTTCTGCTGTAACGTGCTGAAAACCTTGCAAGTGGCAGTTTAAATTGATCAATGGCCACACTTTCAAGGTGGATTGTTTTTACTTACGAAAATTATTTTCCTTCTGAAAAGTATACATTTGTACAAGGGGTCAGGAATGCTTGATTTTAACTTTGTGTTAAGAATTACTCTATGTCCAGTAGTGGTTCTTCTCTTGGCTTCAAAAGGTATTACCTCTCTGGTGCTTAAGTTAGAGTAGAAAAGACTTGGAGAGGTTTTGTAACTTGCTTGGCTCCTCTGTCATCACAACACTTGGTTTCTTAAGCGTTATTACAGGCATATTTGTAAGTGAATGAGAACTAGCAATCTAGAAATGACCACAAGTGTCAGTATTGCCTGCCTGATTTTCCTAAGYAGAATTTCCTTGCTGCTTAGTAACTTGCAAAACCTATGTTACACTTGCTGCCTTTTTTATAAAGGGTCAAGATTCTGCACTAAACCGTAACCATATCCAAGGTGTAAACGTGCAGCAATTTCTTTAATGTTTGAATGTCTTAAATTTAAAATGGAAATGCACCAAAGTTCCTGTAGATCAGTCACAAATGGTGAGAACACTAGAAAAGGTTTTGGTAATTTAAAATTGCATTTGTCACTCCATAAAGATTAGAAACACATTCTCTACTGTGGCCAAGTTGTGAAAGAGAGGACAGAGGGAGCTTAAGTGGCACCTTCCCAAGTCGAAGCTCTTCCGTCTGCCTTGTGTCATTGCAAGTCAACCTGTGAAACGTTTCGACGGCACATGAGGCCTCAAGGCCTAGTGGTCTCAATGTTTGGATTTTATATTAACCAAATAAATTAACTTTCGAAGTATCCAAGCAGCAATTTGGTCTGTCCTCTTGCTGCAGCTTGCAGTGAGGAACACAGGTTTGGAGTGTTGCGCCACAGCCTGCCATGAAGGGCCAAAGTCAAGTTGCTTGTGGCTGCTCTTTTTGTGTTGGATGCAAATACTGCACATGGAACTGCTGTCCAGGCACGTTTCTTTCCTTGGTGATGTATTGCTTTCCCTAGCACATCTTGTCTTCCCTGTGCTCTGACTTTTCATGTCTTTTCCATAAGCTTTGCATCCAGTTATTGCTGATCTGTAKTGTTAAATGCATTTTTTTAACTAGGGAATGGACAGGATAATTTAATTTGTGCTATGYGGTATTTTCGGTCATGTGGTTTTTTCCGCTGATGAACTGACAAGCCAGTGCCAGGAGTAATGTTTTCTGCCTGTCACAAGCATTCATTTTGTGTTGTAAAAAGAACTGTGACTTCATGAAGCTTGGATTCAGCACAGCAGGGGAGAGGAGGCCAAGCAGCAGCACAATCAAATGTTTTGAGGCTGTTTAAAGAACAGTAAAAATCAAGTTCTGTTCTTCCTTACGTAACTTTTCTTCTACACCACCTGCTTTCACTGTATGATCAGGTTCACCCTGCCCCTTCCTTCCCATTCTTGCAGAGAGCACCTTGTGTCGTGAATATCTGCCTTTCAACCAGGGTCTCCGTGTGAAATACCACAGCCAATGGGTGGGTTTGCTATGAATTTGGTTGGTAAAAGCAAATACAGAGGCATTTTGTCAGCCTCAAAAGTTCATAGTTTTGCGTAATAAGTTGAAGTTGGTGACAGAGATATTTAATTATGGTTAAATACTGTTAAACTGGTCAGCTGAACTCTCAGAGCTATTAGGGCAACAGGGGGTCCCGGAGTGAAAACCAGCACTGACTTGCTCAGTAGCTCTAGCACGTGGCTTGCTCCAGCTCTGTGCTCCCTATCCTCGTGTACAGCCAGTTTGATGGGACTTGCAAGGTTTGCAGCAGAAACCACAGGGCTTTGGTGAGCGTCTTCAATGCACACAGCATGTTTTGTCTTAGCTCAGATGAGCAAATGCTCATTACACTGA